CATGGGGTAAGTGCTTAATGACAAAATTTTCATTTTGGGGTGAAGCATCCCTTTAAGTACTACAACACTGCAGTAATGCCTAATAGGTTTTGACAGCAACCTGCACACATAATTTAAAATTTTTATGCCACATTAGAACCAAAGACTAATTTCATGCTGTGATTTTTTTTTACATGCCCAAGTTTTGTTCTTGGCATAGGACTTTTAAAAATTATGCATCTGATGTACCGTGGTATTAAAGGTATAAAATAATCTCTACCTGCTGACAAATTTCTGTCTTTGCAAAGTATATAACATCATATCGTCCATCACTAGTAAGACTGTATCTGTTTTAAAAGCTATCATTGCACATTCACACACTGAACAGAGTATGCATTTAGAATCTGTGTGACAGAGTCCCTGCCAAGACAGACTCTTACCAGTTGTTCCCAGAACCAGAGACATCACTTATGAGTTGTGTGCTGCTGAAGAGAGAATGCAACGGCCCCTGCAGAATCTCTCCTAGGACTCCCTCCTCCATGTCCACTAACACGGCCTGCAGACACGCACACAGATACAATTGATTTTCTTTTATGTTGGGGACTTACCATTGACATCTGTTTTTATTACGATTGGTAATTTTATCTACTCAAGTACTGGATATATTAATCAACTGAGTACTTGGGAGGGTTGTACTATTTTTTAATTGTAGGTCTGTAAATGTATATCCCCATGAGAGTTACAATCTATAGGCTCTACAGGCCAAACCGCACAAATCTCAAACTCACACACGTTGGGTTTCCATGTTTTATGGGGACATTCCATATGCGTAATGGTTTTTATACTGTACTTTCTATGGCCCTACACCTAAACCCCTAACATTTTTAGATTTTCAAAAAACTTAATTTTGTATAATTTATAAGCTTGTTTCCTCATGGGGACCAAAAAAATCCTTGACTACAAGGACAAGGATTTTGGATATTGCCATCTTTCTGGGGACATTTTGTCCCCATAATGTAGAGTTTACCAGGACCACATACACACACACACACACACACACGGTAGCAGCCAAAATCGAATGGGCCTCCACGCCCCATCTCCAATACATCACCTAACATGGTGCTCACCCTGGCCTTTAGAGCGTTGATCTTGCCTCCTGTAGAGTCTGCTCCTCTACAAATACACCACACACACAAATACACGCATAAGATCCCACAATAAATCAAGTGGATCAGCAAGGAGGTGAGGACATGTGCACAAACAAAGTAACATGGACGGAGTAGAAGGGAGTATAAGGAGAAGAAAGAGAGGCTACCTTTGGTCAACATTTCTAAAGAAGCTGCTCAGCGCCTCATCATAAACTCCCATCTGCAGAGACAAAGAATACAGCTATTTATCTACTAGACTAGAACAACAACTTTTTGACACAACCTTCAAATTACCACAATAAATAAATAACTATGCTAGAGCCCTATGAAATACGTTTTATTTTTTCCCAAATTAAAATGTTTTTGGATTCTGTTTTTTTTTATTTTTATCAAAAGCACGTCTAATTAAATAATGAAACGTATACAATTCAACATCAAATCTACTAAAAAGTTTAACAAAAATGACATGTTTAGGGTCTTATGAATATTTTTTCACCTTGTTTATTGTTACCAAATTCTGTGTTTTAATATGTCTAATTATTTGAATGAATAAAAACTACTTTTATTTATAGCCTTATGAAATGTTTTTTTTCTTTAGAAATTCTGCGTTATCGAATGAAGGCATAACACATTAATTTAATTTATCTTTTAATTAATGAAAATTAAACAAATGTAATTTTTTGGCAAACAAAGGGGATTTACAATTAAAATTAAAACATGTAAGAAATATTGTGATTATTCCTTAATTCTAATAGTAGTAGTTGTACGTACATTCTACTGAACAACAGTAATACATTTCTGGCAGAAACTATATATTTTTGACTCTCAGAGCAGTTCTGGGGATGTTGTTCATGTATTTATGTCCTATTTAGTGAGAAGGCAGATGCTGAAATCACCGCGAGCGTCACATGCGCTTTAGTAGGCTATGTGTGTAGTAGGAATGTAACGATTCACTCAACTCACGATTCGAGATTTTGATTTCACGATTTTTTTTTTACAAAATGAGATTTAAGACAAATTATAAATAAAATGTGTCCTTTTATTATTGCTTAGACAAAATACTGTACTTTTCTTTGTGAAATTGAAATAACACTATAATAATATAGCACTTGCATATTATTGCTCTTTTGTTGGTTTTGATTGCTTCTATTGTCCTCATTTGTTAGTCGCCTTGGATAAAAGCATTTGCTAAATAACAAAATTTAAATTGAATGTAAATAACAAAACTAAATTTAAAACAAGCCCCAAATCAAATAAATAACACAAATAAAATAAATCTCTTCATATAAACAAACTAAGGCTTTGTCTGTGCTCTTTCCATTTAAAATTAGAGGCAACCACTGCATTTTAATCATGATCCAAACAAAGATGCTGCATACATGCAACATGAGCAGTTTTTAATCTAAATTACATTGTATAATTTCTAAATTTGAAGCAAAAACAGAATGGTTTGACTTCAGTTTTGTGAAACTATACATAAAAATATCTGCATGAAACCGAAACAGCAGACGAGCTGAATGAGACGCAGATTCACTCTCTGCCAGCAGGTGGCGCTTAAAGCGTTTCCTTGGTTTCCGCTGTAAACAAAACAGCACTGCACTTATGAACTTTAATTAACTGAAAGCATAACGAAATAGCGCTTAGAGAGTATACCTACTCAGCTACAGCAAAAATGAAGCGCATATTGAGGAAACGATGGACGGTTTTCAAGAGAAAGTCAAGTAAAAGACCACTTCTTAAACCAGAGAAGGTGAACATGCTGGTATTCTTGTGGGGGGAAAAGCATGCAAGCACTGTTACCGTTAGCTTTACTTCTCTTTTTGTTTTCATTTTTGAAAAACTCATCTTTGCTGTTTACCTTAAGCTATGGAGGCTCTCTTTTATTTATTTATTTGATTCCTCAGTGTTTGCTAAACGTTCTGTAATGTATTAGTCGGTATATAATACAGCATGTGGTGTGTGCCATGCCTCATCTTATTTGTTTTTGTTAATAAACGTTTTGTAAGCTAGTTTGTCAAGTTGTATCTTACTGATTTATAGTTGTTGTGCTTTTTGATTAAGAATAACAATGAATCCATCTTTTGTTTTAGTCTTAAAAAATTAAAGGTGTGTAAATGTATTCAAATCGCAAATAATACTACTGATGATAAAGAATGGGTTGAATGTTAACAACTTTCGTTTCCATATAACTATAAACTATTAGCGCAAAAAAATAAAAAAATATTGCGACCAAATCATGTGCTCGTGCGACCAGCTGAGAAAGTTAGTTGCAAAAGTGGGAAGAATGAGCCTGGAGCCCTGATATGCATTATATAGAGGCAAGAGGAAAAGAAAAAATACCATCGAAAGACAGTAAGTTCCCCTCAGACATGCATTCATATAAACTCCTACCCCTAACTGAATCGCGATTTGTTTAGCATCTCAACCGTCACATATTTGAATCGATTTTCGACCGGCTCGCGGTTAATCGTTACATCCCTAGTGTGTAGTAAACAAAACCGTGTGAAAAAACAAAAGTGGCCAGACTGAAGTGTCAACAGATCCAGATATTCCCTCACAGCACAGCAGTAACGATTTTAGAAAATCGTTTTATGGTTTTTAAAACCTTTTATGGTAAATCTCATCAAAACAATGCTAACCTCCAATCCATATAACTCTAAAGCAGAATTTAGACATGGTAGAGGCACTTGTTATACTGTCTTTATGCTGGTTTCAATTTTAAAATGTAATGAACATTTAAACATATTTGTATATGTATTTACATTTAATGCAAAATATAATTTCCTTTTTTGTCTTTTGATTTTAGGGTGAAATGTGACCCATATGTGTTCTTGACAGGCTTGGTGAGATTCACATATTAAATCTCAATCTTACTGTGAATAGAATATGACTGACATGATAAATAAACTTAACACAACATAAAACATAACTTACATAAAAGGGATACAAATATTACATACTCAGTCTACCTGTAAAATAGATAGTTTCATGCAAGTCTTAAAAAAATTACTAGAAAAAAGACAAGTATTTGAAAAACATCTCTATAGTGTCATATTATTTCTCACTTGATTGACGTGTGCATGTTCTCTGAGTGCGAGGTCCCAGAAGCGGCAGCCCACCTGATTCCCACACTGACCAACTAAAACACACACACACACACACACACACACAAAACAATGACATGAGGCAACAAGACAGAAATTCTTGGTCAGGTGTGTGTGCATGTTATGCACCTTTTTTGTTGTTTATTTGGGAACCAATGACAGCTTGTACTTTAATTTTTATTTTCCCTGCGAGATATTATTATCTGGTGGAGTATTTTTAGTTTAGTATGGAAGAGGATCTTGCATACTTTTGAACATAAATTAAATTAACACTTTTAAATATGAATATTTGTCAGTTTTAAAAATGTATTCATTTGATTTTTATTAACTGATACATAGATTGCGGAGTTCTACATTTTATTTTAGCATGGCAAACCAAGTCCTGCATATCAGTGGTCTTGTGTTGATAAATCATTTCTAAAAGATCACCCATATTTATTTATGCATGTATTAGGGCTGTGCGATATTGAAGAAAAATGCGATATGCGATACGATAATGCTTAAAGTGCCACATGCTCAGATGAAACAGTTTTACTCTGTTGCTTAGCTCTGTTGCTTTACTTAGCTGTTTCTTAGTCAGTTCTGTGAACTTCTATAACTATGTGTCATATATATATATATATATATATATGGTTATTTGTATGTATGTATGTATGTACCAAGAGTTCCTGTAAAACCACAACAAATTCCTTGTGTTTGCACACACTTAAGTGGTGAATAAAGCTCATTCTGATTCTGATTCTAATAAGAAAGCCTCCCAACAACAACTTATGAAAGTGAACGGTAGTGTTTTACTCAAGCATTACATAAAAATGTCATTTTAACATGAGTTTAGGAACTGAATAACAAAAAGGAAAAATAAAAAATTGCTTAGAATTTACTCTTTGAATTCAATATGCACTGATTCTTATTTAAGCTACAAATGTTATTTAGGTCAGAGCAGTGAGTGATTTTCTCTTTGTCTTTTGTTCATGGCCCCAAATATTGTAAACTGTAGCGATATGCATATTGCGATATGTACATTTGCGATATTTCGATAAATTGCACAGCCCTAGCATGCATGCATGTATGTATGTATGTATGTATGTTTGTAAGTATTTCTGTATGTAGAAGAAGAATTCAAAATCCAGTTGCTTCAAATCTGAAGGGGACACGGTTGGGTTGAATGAATCTTCTGCTCTTCATGACGGGAAGTCTGCTTTATTACCGACATAACGTTAGCTGAGAGAAGCTCAACACTAGAAGACAACTGCGGTTTGAATACAGACCTAGCAGCTGACATGAACAGACTGGGACAGTAATATAGAAACTTCCTGAAATCATATTTCTTAAAATAAGATTTAGTACTATTTCCTGAAATTGCCATGGTTACTATACAGACATGACTCTATAACTTCTAAATGAGCATGTTTCAGCCCCTGTCACAGGGAGTAGGCGGTTAACTCTAGTTATGACCATTAAAAATGAACTCTCTTCTTACCTTGGACTACTATGGACTGTGTCATCTTTTTAGTTTATACCATTTTATCTACTTTTATCTGCATCTTACATCCATCTGTAGACTCATCGCTTGTTAGTTGACGGTTGTTGTCTCGCGCGACAATTTGAAGTCAAAGCGTCGTTGGTTGATGACGTATGACAGTGCGCAAGGAAGTTCTGTTTTGTAGTTTTTTTGTAGTTGTAGGGCTGGGAAACGATTCCAAAAATAATCGATCCCTAGGCGTTGGGAATTGAGAGTCGATTCCAAAGGTTTCCATCAAGGGGAATCGACTCCTCATTCAGAGATCTTTTCAGATCAACAAAGCTTATTTATGGATGCCTCTCACACGGAAGGCTGCACACATTTAAATTCACGAAAATAAACTGAAAGAAAAGGAGTCGGTACTGAGATCATCTGAATTTTAGGATGCAGCCTTATTTGAGAAGCACAAATTACCTCCCTCATGCTCGCTAAAAGCCGTAATTGCGAGAGTTGTGAGATAAAATTTTCATTTTTATATTTTTATTACCATTCGCCTCCCTCGTGCTCGCTAAAAGTGAGTAGAAGTCATAAGAACCAGTTAAAAAAACGATTCAGAGGTTATTTTACGGTGGACTGTCATCTTTTTAGTTTATACCATTTTATCTACTTTTATCTGCATCTTACATCCATCTGTAGACTCATCGCTTGTTAGTTGACGGTTGTTGTCTCGCGCGACAATTTGAAGTCAAAGCGTCGTTGGTTGATGACGTATGACAGTGCGCAAGGAAGTTCTGTTTTGTAGTTTTTTTGTAGTTGTAGGGCTGGGAAACGATTCCAAAAATAATCGATCCCTAGGCGTTGGGAATTGAGAGTCGATTCCAAAGGTTTCCATCAAGGGGAATCGACTCCTCATTCAGAGATCTTTTCAGATCAACAAAGCTTATTTATGGATGCCTCTCACACGGAAGGCTGCACACATTTAAATTCACGAAAATAAACTGAAAGAAAAGGAGTCGGTACTGAGATCATCTGAATTTTAGGATGCAGCCTTATTTGAGAAGCACAAATTACCTCCCTCATGCTCGCTAAAAGCCGTAATTGCGAGAGTTGTGAGATAAAATATTATTTTCATTTTTATATTTTTATTACCATTCGCCTCCCTCGTGCTCGCTAAAAGTGAGTAGAAGTCATAAGAACCAGTTAAAAAAACGATTCAGAGGTTATTTTACGGTGGACCTGGCTTGTCCACAATTTTGAGCGCTGCACGACAGAATAGATCATCAAGGGTCTTGATCTTATTTCCATCTAAAATACTTTTTTTTTCTTTTTTTTTTACATTTCTATCAGCCAATGATCATTTTAAAAGAAAACGTCCCGAGCATAGATCAGTGGCTGAGAGCGCATCTGATTGACAGATAAACCACGAGCTCTATTAGTTATTGTTAATGTTCTGGTTATTTTGTTTCAGTGTACAGCTTGTTAATTTTGTGCAAAGCAAAATCTCGGAATCGAACAGCCCTATCAAAGCATTTTATCCACAAATGTAGATTTTCACGTCTCCACCTGTTTTGACTCTTCAAGAATTATTAAAATAAGAATAAAAAGCTGGTATTTTGTTGTATTTAACTGATAAGTATAAGTTTATTAATTCAATTATAATATCTTGTTAACACCCCTTTATTATTTTGTACCTTTTTTGAGCTTGTGCTGCTGATTTTATTGATTTATTTACCCTTTTATATTTATGTGTCTAACTGAGTACTTTGTTTGTTATTTGAATGTCATCTTGTTCTAGGCTAGCTTGTAATAGGCCTACTTCTTGATTTTATTTATTTACTTTTTAAAGTTTGTAGCTTTTTTTTTGTCATGTTCAGTCATGTGCTGCTGAAAGATATTGTACATTAATTTACTGTAAGCCTACTTAAAAAAAATTTACACAACCTTATAAATAAACTAAATAATTTCAGAGAATGAATCCCTGCGTATCAAACCACATGCTGTCAAGTCAAGACAAGTCACCTTTATTTATATAGCGCTTTTAACAATACAGATTGTGTCAAAGCAGCTTTACAGTATTAAATTGGAAAATAGTGTGTCAATAATGCAAAAGGACAATAGTAAACACTCAATTTTCAGTTAAAGGCAGTTCATCATTGAATTCAGTGATGTCATCATCCAGCTCAGTTCAGTTTAAATAGTATCTGTGCAATCAAGTCGACGATATCGCTGGAAATGAAGTGTCCCCAACTAAGCAAGCCAGACGCAACAGCGGCAAGGAACCAAAACTCCATCGGTGACAGAATGGAGAAAAAACCTTCGGAGAAACCAGGCTCAGACGGGGGGCCAGTTCTCCTCTGCCCAGACGAAACCAGCAGTTCAATTCCAGGCTGCAGCAAAGTCACATTGTGCAGAGGACTCAACTGGTTCCTGTGGTCTTGTCCCGGTGGCCGTCTGAGACAAGGTCTTTACTGGGGATCTGTATCTGGGACTCATCTAGTTGTTCTGGTCTCCGCTGACATTCAGGGCTGTAGAGGTCCTCTCTAGGTGCTGATCCACCATCTGGGCTGGATACGGACTGGATCAGGGTGACTGCAGTGACCATCTGATCTGGATACAGACTGGATCTGGTGGCTACGGTGACCTCGGAATAAGA